CTCAAAATAGAAATACCATTTGACCCAGGAATTCCACTACTAGGAATTTACCCTAAGAATGCAGCACTCCAGTTTGAAAAAGACAGATGCACCCCTATGTTTATCACTGCACTATTTACAATAGCCAAGATATGGAAGCAACCTAAATGTCCATCAGTAGATGAATGGATAAAGAAGATGTGGTACATACACACAATGGAATATTACTCAGCCATAAGAAAAAAATGGATCCTACCATTGGCAACAACATGGATGGAGCTAGAGGCTATTATGCTCAGTGAAATAAGCCAGGTGGAGAAAGACAAGTACCAAATGATTTCACTCATATGTGTAGTGTAAGAACAAAGGAAAACTGAAGGAACAAAACAGCAGCAGAATCACAGAACCCAAGAACGGACTAATAGTTACCAAAGGGAAAGGGACTGGGGAGGATGGATGGGAAGGGAGGGATAAGGGCGGGGATAAAGAAAGGGGGCATTATGATTAGCATGTATAATGTGGGGGTGTCACGGGGAGGGCTGTGCAACACAGAGAAGACAAATAGTGAATTTACAGCATCTTACTGCACTGATGGACAGTGACTGTGAAGAGGTATGTGGGGGGGACTTGGAGAAGGGTGGAGCATAGTAAACATAATGTTCTTCATGTAATTGTAGATTAATGATACCAAAAGAAAAAAATAAAAAATGAAGTAAAAAAAACTTAAATTGTATACAGTTACAATTAAAATCTCATTAAAAATAAATATAATAAGTACTCAAAAAATGATCTACAATGGTTGACTTAGTTTAAGGTAACCTGTCCTCATACATCTGCCAGGAAATTCACTTAATTCTGGACAGGACCTGAGGACTTAACCCAGATCTTTAACAAACAGTACAAATATTTGGAAATTGTTCTAGTGGACTATTACAGGAAAAAAAAGAAACATGTACTATGAGGTATTCTAACAGATTCCCGATTCTTGACTAACTTGGAAAAGCATAGGAAAGAAGCAGTGTAAAACCATGTTTCTCGGGGCCTTGGCATCATGTTCCAGTTGTGCCATTTATGAATCACTGTCACTGCTTGAGATGCAAGAATATTCTGTAAACTCACTGGTACCACCATTCACCAAGCTCTCCCACAGGAGGGAAGGGACATCTTCTCCAAATATCTTGAGGCAATTTTCAATGAGAAATTGCACAAGACTAAGCATTTTTTCCAAGTCTTTTCCTAAATCTGCATTGCAAGGACTGGGGAGAAAAATAAGGCTCTGGGCTATACAGTGATGAACCATAAGCTGTCATCTTGTGTGTTGTCTGCAGCTCAATGTTTAATACCCGAAAAAGATATCACAAGAGGACAGCATGGGCTCCTGGCACCTGGTCTAAAATCCTCCAGGTGGCAGTTATTTTCTCACCCTCGCTCTCCCCTTGCTCAGGATCAGCAAGGCATTTACCATAGACACTGGATGAAAATACACTTCCTTGGATATTTTCAAAAAAGTCCTTTAAGACCGCCACTGCCACAGAGACGGATTCACCATCCCAGTTCCCTTTGTCCCCGGAATTGAGCTGCTCCTTTATGGATCTGCAGGATTTTCTTTTCTGGTCACTGTCCTGAAGATGTCTTTTGTGAGCGGCCGTTTTTGATTGATAAAATCAAGAATATCCAGGATGGGCTTGAGCAGCTCGTCATTGTCACACACGTCCATGAGAGAAATGCCAGAGGGCTGTCCGGGCTTTGCAGTTGGTGGGGCCAGGCAGGTTTAGTCTGGACAAGTACCCGAGCCCTGCCAACAGGCCATGTGTGTGCCTGCACTTTTGTGACTCTCTTCTGGCAGGATTCTGCAGCCTCACTGGTACCAGCATTCACAGAGCTCTCCTCCAGGAGGGAAGGGACATCTTCTCCAAATATCTTGAGGCAGTTTTCAGTGAGAAATTGCACAAGACTAAGCTTTTTTTCCAAGTCCCTTCCCAAATCTGCGTTGCAGGGACTGGGCAGACAAAGAAGGCTCTGGGCTATGCAGTGACAAACCATAAGCTGTCATATTGTGTGTTGCCTGCTGCTCGATGTTGTGTAATGGTCCAAAAAGATACTGCGAGGGAACAACATTGGCTCTCGGCACCTCGTCTAAAAGCCTCCAGGTGACAGTTATTTTCTCATCCTCGCTCTCCCCTTGCTCAGGATCAGCAAGGCATTTACCATAGAGACTGGATGAAAATACACTTCCTTGGATATTTTCAAAAAAGTCCTTTAAGACCACCACTGCCACAGAGACGGATTCACCATCCCAGTTCCCTTTGTCCCCGGAATTGAGCTGCTTCTTTATGGATCTGCAGGATTTTCTTTTCTGGTCACTGTCCTGAAGATGTCTTTGGTGAGCAGCCGTTTTTGATTGATAAAATCAAGCAGATCCAGGATGGGCTTGAGCAGCTCGTCATTGTCACATACGTCCATGAGAGAAATGCCAGAGAGCTGTCCTGGCTTTGCAGCCGGTGGAGCTGGGCAGGGATAGTCCGGACAAGTACCCGAGCCCTGCCAACATGCCAGGTGTGTGTCGGCAATCTCTCTCTCTTCCAGCGGAGTGTCTCCCTTGTTGGTTCCTGGCCACGTGCCTCGGCCTCAGAATGAAAGAAGAGGCAGAATCCTCCAGTCCCTGGGGCTGGAAAGTAGTAGCTGGAAGATGGCTCATTTTAGTTCCACAGGGACATTCATACCCAATGGTTAGATATGGGGTCTTTTCCTTGTCAGAACTGACCCACAGCTGGTAATCTTTCTCGGAGCCACTTATTCCTATCACTGGTAGTGTCATGTTGATGACATCATTCACTGTGTCTGAATTTGTTACTGTTATCGGTATAGAACAAGCACAGTTCTTGATGTCCCCAGTGCAGATTTTGGGGGGAATGTTTTTGGGCTGGTCCTTCTCTTTGGATAGATTGATGTATCTTTGAAGGAAAGAGTACCATTTTCCTTTAGTTCTGGAGATCTACAGGAGGCCACAAAGTTCACCGTGGGCCAGCCCAAGACAAAGGACCTCTGGGCACTGATGTTGGCTCTCCGCATAAAGTCAGCAGTCCACACCGTGTTCATCGATACTGAATTTTTTTCTCACAGGTTTTTTCATACGCGCATCAAATACTTAGGTAGCAGTGAGTCAACTACTTCTTCCATTTCAGTTGATTTCAACGTTCAAAGAATTTCCAGCAGAAGCCTGCGAGTGAGTTGGTGTCAGACACAAGCAGCAAATCGCTGTAGAAGAAGAGGTGCCGCTGCTGTGCCCTGCCGCCTCTTCTGAGTTCTACGTGGCCGTGAAGCAGCAGAGTATGATGGGTGCCCTCAGATGATGTAGTACCTTCGCTGTGGGTGTAGTCTGTGTTGCAAGGACTGGGCAGACAAAGAAGGCTCTGGGCTATGCAGTGATAAAACATAAGCTGTCATCTTGTGTGTCATCTGCTGCTCGATGTGTAATACTCCAAAGAGATACCGCAAGAGGACAGCGTCGGCTCTCGGCAGCTGGTCTAATAGCCTCCAGGTGGCAGATACTTTCTCATCCTCGCTTTCTCCTTGCTCAGGATCAGCAAGCCATTTATCATAGAGACGGGATGAAAATACACTTCCTTGGATATTCTCAAGAAAATCCTTTAAGATCACCACTGCCAGAAAGGCACATTCACCATCCCAGTTCCCTTCGTCCCCAGAGTTGAGCTGCTCCTTTAGGGATGTGCAGGATTCTTTACTGCTCGCTGTCCTGAAGATGTCTTTTGTGAGCTGCCGTTTTTGATTGATAAAATCAAGCAGATCCAGGACGGGGTTGAGCAGCTCGTCATTGTCACACACGTCCATGAGAGAAATGCCAGAGAGCTGTCCGGGCTTTGCAGTTGGTGGGGCCAGGCAGGTTTAGTCTGGACAAGTACCCGAGCCCTGCCAACAGGCCATGTGTGTGCCTGCACTTTTGTGACTCTCTTCTGGCAGGATTCTGCAGCCTCACTGGTACCAGCATTCACAGAGCTCTCCTCCAGGAGGGAAGGGACATCTTCTCCAAATATCTTGAGGCAGTTTTCAGTGAGAAATTGCACAAGACTAAGCTTTTTTTCCAAGTCCCTTCCCAAATCTGCGTTGCAGGGACTGGGCAGACAAAGAAGGCTCTGGGCTATGCAGTGACAAACCATAAGCTGTCATATTGTGTGTTGCCTGCTGCTCGATGTTGTGTAATGGTCCAAAAAGATACTGCGAGGGAACAACATTGGCTCTCGGTACCTGGTCTAAAAGCCTCCTGGTGACAGTTATTTTCTCATCCTCGCTCTCCCCTTGCTCAGGATCAGCAAGGCATTTACCATAGAGACTGGATGAAAATACACTTCCTTGGATATTTTCAAAAAAGTCCTTTAAGACCACCTCTGACACAAAGTCAGATTCACCATCCCAGTTTGCTTTGTCCCCGGACTTGAGCTGCTCCTTTATGGATCTGCAGGATTTTCTTTTCTGGTCACTGTCCTGAAGATGTCTTTGGTGAGCAGCCGTTTTTGATTGATAAAATCAAGCAGATCCAGGATGGGCTTGAGCAGCTCGTCATTGTCACATACGTCCATGAGAGAAATGCCAGAGAGCTGTCCTGGCTTTGCAGCCGGTGGAGCTGGGCAGGGATAGTCCGGACAAGTACCCGAGCCCTGCCAACATGCCAGGTGTGTGTCGGCAATCTTTCTCTCTTCCAGCGGAGTGTCTCCCTTGTTGGTTCCTGGCCACGTGCCTCGGCCTCAGAATGAAAGAAGAGGCAGAATCCTCCAGTCCCTGGGGCAGGAAAGTAGTAGCTGGAAGATGGCTCATTTTAGTTCCACAGGGACATTCATGCCCAATGATTAGATATGGGGTCTTTTCCTTGTCAGAACTGACCCACAGCTGGTAATCTTTCTCGGAGCCAGTTATTCCTAGCACTGGTAGTGTCATGTTGATGACATCATTCACTGTGTCTGAATTTGTTACTGTTATCGGTATAGAACAAGCACAGTTCTTGATGTCCCCAGTGCAGATTTTGAGGGGAATGTTTTTGGGCTGGTCCTTCTCTTTGGATAGATTGATGTATCTTTGAAGGAAAGAGTACCATTTTCCTTTAGTTCTGGAGATCTACAGGAGGCCACAAAGTTCACCGTGGGCCAGCCCAAGACAAAGGACCTCTGGGCACTGATGTTGGCTCTCCGCATAAAGTCAGCAGTCCACACCGTGTTCATCGATACTGAATTTTTTTCTCACAGGTTTTTTCATACGCTCATCAAATACTTAGGTAGCAGTGAGTCAACTACTTCTTCCATTTCAGTTGATTTCAACGTTCAAAGAATTTCCAGCAGAAGCCTGCGAGTGAGTTGGTGTCAGACACAAGCAGCAAATCGCTGTAGAAGAAGAGGTGCCGCTGCTGTGCCCTGCCGCCTCTTCTGAGTTCTACGTGGCCGTGAAGCAGCAGAGTATGATGGGTGCCCTCAGATGATGTAGTACCTTCGCTGTGGGTGTAGTCTGTGTTGCAAGGACTGGGCAGACAAAGAAGGCTCTGGGCTATGCAGTGATAAAACATAAGCTGTCATCTTGTGTGTCATCTGCTGCTCGATGTGTAATACTCCAAAGAGATACCGCAAGAGGACAGCGTCGGCTCTCGGCAGCTGGTCTAATAGCCTCCAGGTGGCAGATACTTTCTCATCCTCGCTTTCTCCTTGCTCAGGATCAGCAAGCCATTTATCATAGAGACGGGATGAAAATACACTTCCTTGGATATTCTCAAGAAAATCCTTTAAGATCACCACTGCCAGAAAGGCACATTCACCATCCCAGTTCCCTTCGTCCCCAGAGTTGAGCTGCTCCTTTAGGGATGTGCAGGATTCTTTACTGCTCGCTGTCCTGAAGATGTCTTTTGTGAGCGGCCGTTTTTGATTGATAAAATCAAGCAGATCCAGGACGGGGTTGAGCAGCTCATCATTGTCACACACGTCCATGAGAGAAATGCCAGAGAGCTGTCTGGGCTTTGCAGTTGGTGGGGCCAGGCAGGGGTAGTCTGGACAAGTACCCAAGCCCTGCCAACAGGCCATGTGTGTGCCTGCACTTTTGTGACTCTCTTCTGGCAGGATTCTGCAGCCTAACTGGTACCAGCATTCACAGAGCTCTCCTCCAGGAGGGAAGGGACATCTTCTCCAAATATCTTGAAGCAGTTTTCAGTGAGAAATTGCACAAGACTAAGCTTTTTTTCCAAGTCCCTTCCCAAATCTGCGTTGCAGGGACTGGGCAGACAAAGAAGGCTCTGGCCTATGCAGTGACAAACCATAAGCTGTCATACTGTGTGTTGCCTGCTGCTCGATGTTGTGTAATGGTCCAAAAAGATACTGCGAGGGAACAACATTGGCTCTCGGTACCTGGTCTAAAAGCCGCCTGGTGACAGTTATTTTCTCATCCTTGCTCTCCCCTTGCTCAGGATCAGCAAGGCATTTACCATAGAGACTGGATGAAAATACACTTCCTTGGATATTTTCAAAAAAGTCCTTTAAGACCACCTCTGACACAAAGTCAGAATCACCATCCCAGTTCCCTTTGTCCCCGGAATTGAGCTGCTCCTTTATGGATCTGCAGGATTTTCTTTTCTGGTCACTGTCCTGAAGATGTCTTTGGTGAGCGGCCGTTTTTGATTGATAAAATCAAGCAGATCCAGGATGGGCTTGAGCAGCTCGTCATTGTCACACACGTCCATGAGAGAAATGCCAGAGGGCTGTCCGGGCTTTGCAGTTGGTGGGGCCAGGCAGGTTTAGTCTGGACAAGTACCCGAGCCCTGCCAACAGGCCATGTGTGTGCCTGCACTTTTGTGACTCTCTTCTGGCAGGATTCTGCAGCCTCACTGGTACCAGCATTCACAGAGCTCTCCTCCAGGAGGGAAGGGACATCTTCTCCAAATATCTTGAGGCAGTTTTCAGTGAGAAATTGCACAAGACTAAGCTTTTTTTCCAAGTCCCTTCCCAAATCTGCGTTGCAGGGACTGGGCAGACAAAGAAGGCTCTGGGCTATGCAGTGACAAACCATAAGCTGTCATATTGTGTGTTGCCTGCTGCTCGATGTTGTGTAATGGTCCAAAAAGATACTGCGAGGGAACAACATTGGCTCTCGGTACCTGGTCTAAAAGCCTCCTGGTGACAGTTATTTTCTCATCCTCGCTCTCCCCTTGCTCAGGATCAGCAAGGCATTTACCATAGAGACTGGATGAAAATACACTTCCTTGGATATGTTCAAAAAAGTCCTTTAAGACCACCTCTGACACAAAGTCAGATTCACCATCCCAGTTTGCTTTGTCCCCGGAATTGAGCTGCTCCTTTATGGATCTGCAGGATTTTCTTTTCTGGTCACTGTCCTGAAGATGTCTTTGGTGAGCAGCCGTTTTTGATTGATAAAATCAAGCAGATCCAGGATGGGCTTGAGCAGTTTGTCATTGTCACACACGTCCATGAGAGAAATGCCACAGGGCAGTCCTGGCTTTGCAGCCGGTGGAGCTGGGCAGGGATAGTCCACACAAGTACCCGAGCCCTGCCAACATGCCAGGTGTGTGTCGGCAATCTTTCTCTCTTCCAGCGGAGTGTCTCCCTTGTTGATTCCTGGCCACGTGCCTTGGCCTCAGAATGAAAGAAGAGGCAGAATCCTCCAGTCCCTGGGGCTGGAAAGTAGTAGCTGGAAGATGGCTCATTTTAGTTCCACAGGGACATTCATTCCCAATGATTAGATATGGGGTCTTTTCCTTGTCAGAACTGACCCACAGCTGGTAATCTTTCTCGGAGCCAGTTATTCCTAGCACTGGTAGTGTCATGTTGATGACATCATTCACTGTGTCTGAATTTGTTACTGTTATCGGTATAGAACAAGCACAGTTCTTGATGTCCCCAGTGCAGATTTTGAGGGGAATGTTTTTGGGCTGGTCCTTCTCTTTGGCTAGATTGGTGTATCTTTGAAGGAAAGAGTACCATTTTCCTTTAGTTCTGGAGATCTACAGGAGGCCACAAAGTTCACCGTGGGCCAGCCCAAGACAAAGGACCTCTGGGCACTGATGTTGGCTCTCCGCATAAAGTCAGCAGTCCACACCGTGTTCATCGATACTGAATTTTTTTCTCACAGGTTTTTTCATACGCTCATCAAATACTTAGGTAGCAGTGAGTCAACTACTTCTTCCATTTCAGTTGATTTCAACGTTCAAAGAATTTCCAGCAGAAGCCTGCGAGTGAGTTGGTGTCAGACACAAGCAGCAAATCGCTGTAGAAGAAGAGGTGCCGCTGCTGTCCCCTGCCGCCTCTTCTGAGTTCTACGTGGCCGTGAAGCAGCAGAGTATGATGGGTGCCCTCAGATGATGTAGTACCTTCGCTGTGGGTGTAGTCTGTGTTGCAAGGACTGGGCAGACAAAGAAGGCTCTGGGCTACGCAGTGATAAAACATAAGCTGTCATCTTGTGTGTCATATGCTGCTCGATGTGTAATACTCCAAAGAGATACCGCAAGAGGACAGCATCGGCTCTCGGCAGCTGATCTAAAAGTCTCCAGGTGGCAGATACTTTCTCATCCTAGCTTTCTCCTTGCTCAGGATCAGCAAGCCATTTATCAGAGAGACTGGATGAAAATACACTTCCTTGGATATTCTCAAGAAAATCCTTTAAGACCGCCACTGCCACACCGCAGATTGACCATCCCAGTTCCCTTCATCCCCAGAATTGAGCTGCTCCTTTAGGGATGTGCAGGATTCTTTTCTGGTCGCTGTCCTGAAGATGTCTTTTGTGAGCGGCCGTTTTTGATTGATGAAATCAAGCAGATCCAGGATGCAGTTGAGCAGTTCGTCATTGTCACACATGTCCATGAGAGAAATGCCAGAGAGCTGTTCGGGCTTTGCAGTTGGTGGGGCCAGGCAGGGGTAGTCTGGACAAGTACCCGAGCCCTGCCAACAGGCCATGTGTGTGCCTGCACTTTTGTGACTCTCTTCTGGCAGGAATCTGCAGCCTCACTGATACCACCATTCACAGAGCTCTCATCTTGTGTGTCGCCTGCTGCTCGATGTTGTGTAATGGTCCAAAAAGATACTGCAAGGGAACAACATTGGCTCTCGGCACCTCGTCTAAAAGCCTCCAGGTGACAGTTATTTTCTCATCCTCGCTCTCCCCTTGCTCAGTATCACCAAGGCATTTACCATAGAGACTGGATGAAAATACACTTCCTTGGATATTTTCAAAAAAGTCTTTTAAGACCACCTCTGCCACAGAGACGGATTCACCATCCCAGTTCCGTTTGTCCCCGGAATTGAGCTGCTCCTTTATGGATCTGCAGGATTTTCTTTTCTGGTCACTGTCCTGAAGATGTCTTTGGTGAGCAGCCGTTTTTGATTGATAAAATAAAGCAGATCCAGGATGGGCTTGAGCAGCTCGTCATTGTCACATACGTTCATGAGAGAAATGCCAGAGAGCTGTCCTGGCTTTGCAGCCGGTGCAGCTGGGCAGGGATAGTCCGGACAAGTACCCAAGCCCTGCCAGCAGGCCAGGTGTGTGTCGGCAATCTTTCTCTCTTCCAGCGGAATGTCTCCCTTGTTGGTTCCTGGCCAGGTGCCTCGGCCTCAGATTGAAAGAAGAGGCAGAATCCTCCAGTCCCTGGGGCTGGAAAGTAGTAGCTGGAAGATGGCTCATTTTAGTTCCAAAAGGACATTCATGCCCAATGAGTAGATATGGCGTCTTTTCCTTGTCAGAACTGACCCACAGCTGGTAATCTTTCTCGGAGCCAGTTATTCCTAGCACTGGTAGTGACATGTTGATGACGTCATTCACTGTCTGAATTTGTTACTGTTATCGGTATAGAACAAGCACAGTTCTTGATGTCCCCAGTGCAGATTTTGAGGGGAATGTTTTTGGGCTGTTCCTTCTCTTTGGATAGATTGGTGTATCTTTGAAGGAAAGAGTACCATGTTTCCTTTAGTTCTGGAGATCTACAGGTGGCCACAAAGTTCACCGTGGGCCAGCCCAAGACAAAGGACCTCTGGGCACTGACGTTGGCTCTCCCCATAAAGTCAGCAGTCCACACCGTGTTCATCGGTACTGAATTTTTTTCTCACAAATTTTTTCATACGCTCATCAAATACTTAGGTAGCAGTGAGTCAACTACTTCTTCCATTTCAGTTGATTTCAACATTCAAAAAATTTCCAGCAGAAGCCTGCGAGTGAGTTGGTATCAGACACAAGCAACAAATCGCTGTAGAAGAAGAGGTGCCGCTGCTGTCCCCTGCCGCCTCTTCTGAGTTCTACGTGGCCGTGAAGCAGCAGAGTATGATGGGTGCCCTCAGATGATGTAGTACCTTCGCTGTGGGTGTAGTCTGTGTTGCAAGGACTGGGCAGACAAAGAAGGCTCTGGGCTATGTCTCCCTTGTTGGTTCCTGGCCACGTGCCTCGGCCTCAGAATGAAAGAAGAGGCAGAATCCTCCAGTCCCTGGGGCTGGAAAGTAGTAGCTGGAAGATGGCTCATTTTAGTTCCACAGGGACATTCATTCCCAATGATTAGATATGGGGTCTTTTCCTTGTCAGAACTGACCCACAGCTGGTAATCTTTCTCGGAGCCAGTTATTCTTAGCACTGGTAGTGTCATGTTGATGACGTCATTCACTGTGTGTGAATTTGTTACTGTTATCGGTATAGAACAAGCACAGTTCTTGATGTCCCCAGTGCAGATTTTGGGGGGAATATTTTTGGGCTGTTCCTTCTCTTTGGCTAGATTGATGTATCTTTGAAGGAAAGAGTACCATTTTCCTTTAGTTCTGGAGATCTACAGGTGGCCACAAAATTCACCGTGGGCCAGCCCAAGACAAAGGACCTCTGGGCACTGATGTTGGCTCTCCGCATAAAGTCAGCAGTCCACACCGTGTTCAGTGGTACTGAATTTTTTTCTCACAAATTTTTTCATACGCGCATCAAATACTTAGGTAGCAGTGAGTCAACTACTTCTTCCATTTCAGTTGATTTCAACGTTCAAAGAATTTCCAGCAGAAGCCTGCGAGTGAGTTGGTGTCAGACACAAGCAGCAAATCGCTGTAGAAGAAGAGGTGCCGCTGCTGTGCCCTGCCGCCTCTTCTGAGTTCTACGTGGCCGTGAAGCAGCAGAGTATGATGGGTGCCCTCAGATGATGTACTACCTTCGCTGTGGGTGTAGTCTGTGTTGCAAGGACTGGGCAGACAAAGAAGTCTCTGGGCTATGCAGTGTATAACATAAGCTGTCATCTTGTGTGTCATCTGCTGCTCGATGTGTAATACTCCAAAGAGATACCGCAAGAGGGCAGCGTGGGCTCTCGGCAGCTGGTCTAAAAGCCTCCAGGTGGCAGATAGTTTCTCATCCTCGCTCTCACCTTGCTTAGGATCAGCAAGCCATTTATCAGAGAGACTGGATGAAAATACACTTCCTTGGTTTTCTTGGTTTCACTGGATATGTTATGCTTTTGTTATGTAGCTGCATTTGTATTATGGTAATGTGTGTACACGAATCAATTAGTAGTTTGTTAAAACCTATACATGCTTATGTTACTCTGAAAGAAGGTATATCAATGAAATAATCAATCTTCCCATGTTTTCTTCTGTCTTCTACTTCTATAGCTTTTTTTCTTCCTTCCTAATTACAGACTTTAGTAGAATTCGTGCCTCATATCGAAAATTACTGAGTATCATAATTCTTCCAAGTGGTAAAGATACCTCAAGACAAATGCTGGCATAGAAGCCACAGGGCATAAATTTGCAAAGAAGTAAAAAGCTAACCTTTTCAAAGAATATTGCTTCTCTCTCACTTACCAACTTTTCATTTCCCTGTATGGCCCCGGAAGATGACTGGTTAGCCAGAGACGGGTAAGATTCCTCAAGGGAGGAACAACCTAAGACAGGCACAGTCACAGGGGGGCCATCAGGTGAGAAATTGGGGATCAACAGAGGTGAGGCTTAGAACCTCGCCCC